GCCCAGTGAGATGTCCTTAGCATTCCCTTTAATAACTTGATGCTTACCCTATAGTGACCCTGTTATGGTAGCCTGATTTCAATAGCCTCATCATCGTAGATTCCCAGGCCGTTAGTTTCGGCTGTTGTCGTGGAACCAGGGGCTCACGGACGCTGAGCTCGAGCGACGCTTTGGCGCCGCCCAATCAAGCTCGCAGGCCAGCGAGGGTTTTCCGGATTTAGCTGTTTGTGCCTGCTGTATGAATTGCTGTGTTTTGATCTTGCATTTTGTTCCTGTTTGCTTCTGACCCTGGCCACCAAGCAACACCGGTAGAACAAGACTGGTAATGCTTGCTGTTGCTGTGCTCCCTAATCTTGTTCTGATCAGCAGCACGGTAGCAGCCGCGACCAGCTCTGCTCCAACTGCGACTGTTGCGTCGGCGGTCCACAAACACGCCGCCGGCCACGACAGCAACTACGAGTACTGCTAGTACTAGTGGCAGTGCTGGCGGTTGTTATCACGGCCGTACTGCTACCGCTACTGCAGCTTTGCTGCTGCTACTGCTGCCTGCGACTACTACTGGCACTTCCACTGCCACTGCTACTGCCAATGCTATTGCTACGCCGATGACGACGGCTACCACGACTACTGCAACTGCTAGCGTTCGTCAATAGGTTTGAAGTCAATGTATGTGTGGCTTGGCCGGAACAAGAAGCTCGTCGGATGCGACCATGTCGTTCCAAGACCCAACCCCTGAACTTCAAATCCCAAACTCTAAAACCTAAACCTTACACCTCCATGTTTGACAACAGGAGAAGCTGATGACCGAGCAGGAGGTGTTGGCGATGTGCCGAAGCTGCGGTCATTACCTCCTCCATGGAAGGGGGTGGGGGCTCTCGATAATATTTGTCGTGGTTATGGTGTAATGCTCTTAACTTACGGCACATGCGACAGGAACCTTTTCATTGCCATTGCCGTGGACTTTACCGCGACTGCTGATTTGCCGAGATGTGCCACCATTGCCCTTGCTTCTGTTGCTGTTGCTCAGAGTACTGGTCGTAGCAATAGCAATGGCAGCAGCGGTAGTGGCAGCGGTGGCGTTAGCGGTAGGGGAGCGGTAGCCGCAGCGGCAGCAGTCGCAGCATCAGCGGTAGCAGTCGCAGCAGCAGCAGCAGCAGCAGGAGCAGCAGCAGCAGCAGCAGCAGCAGCAGCAGCAGCAGCAGCAGCAGCAGCCGCAGCGCTAGCGGTAGCGGTAGCGGTAGCGGTAGCGGCAGCGGTAGCGGTAGCGGTAGTAGCAGCAGCAGCAGTAGCAGTAGCAGTAGCAGTAGCAGTAGCAGTAGCAGTAGCAGTAGCAGTAGCAGTAGCAGTAGGAGTAGCAGTAGCAGTAGCAGTAGGAGTAGCAGTAGGAGTAG